CTGGAAGCAGAAGGCTGCTGTGCGCTGGGTGGCTGAGGGGGAGCGTAATACCAAGTACTTCCAGAATATAGAATATATAAATATATATTGTAATAAAAAGATTATAATTACTAGAAATGATATCCATTTTCTATCAATTTGCTTTTTTACATAATATGAAAATTTTAAAAATTAATTCTTAGCCAGAATAAAATATTTAGCCATAATCTGGGCCACAATTATAAGAGATTTAATTACTAATAAATTTACTTATCCTAAATTAGATTGTCTAGTCAAATCATTATTTTATTTTGGTAAATATCCTTAAAAGTGCATGGTAATGGTATATTAATTAAATACTATGATTAGTCGGTTCCCCTGTGGATCCAGAAATCGGAAGGTCCTTGTACCAACAAAATTAAATACTATGATTGTTGATTGTTGATATTTTTCCAATGCGAGACATATAGCTATATAAATCGATATAATTAATAATTGGTCAACACTGTATCATAATTGTTTAAGGGACATATTTTTTGTTCCCAAAATTAATATAAAATATTTATTAGTTAAATTTATCAAATATGCAAAAATCTAAAAGTGGAATTTTTTTTATCATATTTTATTATTGTAAAATTACATTTCCATCCAATAAAATTTATTCTTGTCAAATTCTCAATAAAATGTGTTTAATTGTTCTGGTAATTTTGAATTCCAATACATAATGGCCAAAAAAAGTTTAGGCTGATTGATTGGTTAATATTTTGGTCTAAGACCGCCACACGCTTAAAACTCTTCGGCTTCCACATCACCGAGGCTCGCGAAGTTCTCGCCGGACCCACCGGAGCTCCGCCGCACTCCGCCGGCCGGAGGTACGAGTGCCCATACTTTCGCCGCAAATTCGCCAACTCGCAGGCCCTCGGATGCCACCAGAACACTTACAAGAAAGAGCGCCAGGAACTCAGGCAGGCCAAGCTGCAGGCCGCCGCTGCATACGGCCGCAACCCCATGGCCTCTGCCTTGTTGCCGCCGGCCTACCTGCTCATTCTGTCGCAGTCGTGGGTGTGCGTCCCACGCGCCGAAGGGACAGTCCACGTGGCGCGCGGCGTAGGAGAGCTTGGCCCATCTCGGCAGAGCGTGGCGTTAAGGCATATAGTGGGAGATTCGATGGGCCTTCGTTGAGTAGATTTACGAGATTTAATGATGGGCCTGGATTTGAAGATGAGGTGTTCGGGCTAGATTTACAACTGAGCCTGGCCCCAGCTGCGCCGTAAGCTGAGCTCGGATCCATCTGAAACTAGGCTTGATTGAGCGGCTAGGCAGAGAGGTGCGAGTGGTTTTTCTCTAGCTAGTCGGGATTTTTTATCTTCGTAATCTCCAAAGGCGGATCCAATTTTTTTTTTTTTTTGAGCTAGTCTAGAATTGTCATTTGAAATAAATTATTTATGAATTAATACATTTCAAATTGACTTGTGAAAACTCAAGCAACAAATCAAATTTTCTTATTAAATGAATCGAGTTCAGGCTCACATATTTGTTGGTTGTTTAATTAGTCAAGTCAAGCCAATACATTTATTGAACAAACACGAGCTTAATCATGATGTATTCAACTCTACTCCAATAACACCTCTAGCTAGAGGAATATTCAATATTTAATAATATCACATTTTATATGCATATAAGGCATAAAGTTGAATTATAAATTCGATAATATAAATTATAAAAATATTTCACAATAGACATAGCTGCTGAAGTTTGATATTTTAACTTTGTGTTCGACATTATTTCAAATCACGACTCATTTACAAATTGGCTCTATACAAATAATTCTTGCAATTATTTTTAAAACTATTAGTATATATGTATTGTTTGGGCTTTTATGTAAATATGTATTGTTTGGACCTTATTCTGTATTTAGCATTGGGTTTTTCCTTATTCTATTGTTATTTGCTATGGCCTGTTTAGCTGAAATTAGGTCGAGTATAAATAGGTTTTACTCTCCCCTTTTGTAGACACTATTTCATTTTTCTGAAATAATATTTTTCTCTTCTTTCTCTCTATACGCTCGTCTTCTCCAATTCTTCATCTCTCTTACAATCGATCGATTACAGATCTTATCATGGTATCATTCGTCGGACGACGATCTTGTCGTCGTTGTTTTTTATCTTCCACCGCGTTATACACATCTTATCTCTCTCGATCTATGTTTCTCTGATCGAAACCCTAGTTTTTCTGATTTTTTTCTCTCTGTCCTTCGATCTGTGTTTTGAGATCCATCTCACATTCTGATCTATGGCGACTACGATGAATCCATCAGACGATCCAGCCTCTCCTCTCTATTTGCATGCCAGCGACAATCCAGGTGCACTGATCGTCGCGGAGCTCTTTAATGGAGAGAACTACGTCTCCTGGTCACGCGCCGTCATGATGGCACTCAGCGTCAAGAACAAAATCGGCTTCATCGACGGTTCTCTGCCTCCGCCTTCGATGACTGGTAACACCGTTCTATATGTCTCTTGGCTGCGTGCGAACAACCTTGTGCTCTCTTGGTTATTAAACTCGATTTGCAAAGATATTAGACAATCTCTGTTGTTTTTCACTACTGCTCAAGATGTTTGGACTGAAATGAAAACGAGATATGTTCTAAGCAGTGGACCTAGGGTTTTTCAACAAGAGAAGTCCTTAAGTACAATTGCTCAGGGTTCTCAAACCATCACTCATTATTATAATGCATTCAAAACCTTATGGGATGAATATGTGACATACAGACCAATTTTTCAGTGTACTTGTGGTGCTTTTAATTCCTGTACATGTCATATTTTTGAATCTCTGGTTGCTTCTCAGCAACAAGACTC